AAAAATGACAGACACATTTCACTGAAAGCATATTAGGACACAAAGTCACTCTGAAATGAAATAGAAGGAACTGGAACCAACACCACAGCACAGGCACAGAGAGACAAAGTTAGATATCAGAATTTTCATCATAAAGAATGTAGTTCAAATGACTGATTAAAAGTAGCCTCCGAGACTGGTAAAAATCAAACACACAGTGTGACAAAACAGCACACACCTGTTAACAACAACCATCATTAGGCACACGAAAAGAAAAGGTTGGACCTACGTTATTGTTCACTTCGGTGCCAATTTTACATTACCAAGTCCTCTTCTTCATCATACAGTAAATCCATAGACTAGACAAAGCAATAGAAATATCCATTATTCCAGGAAAGACAGAAACAAAACAAAAGGACATTAATTCGAGTAAAACAGTCGTCTCTATGACAACCATCAAAATAACTAGCTTTTGAGACATCATCCCTGTCACAACTTGTTGAGAAGTTGTTCACTGCCCGCCAACATTTCTCGACAATCAAAAAAAGAAAAAGTAAAAAACTGAAAAACAGAAAAAAAAAGCAGCAAACCACACCACAGGGTCCATCAACCACCCACTTTTCATAGTACATCTGAACATACGTAAGGCTTGTTGACAAAATGAGCTATTTCCAATTCAAGCTTTATGGAAACTGATAATTCAAATTTATAGGTTGAGTTTTTACAACTTATTAGTATGAAATGATAAAAGATGTAATAAAATTTGAAGAAAAAAGGCATCGATTGAAAATCTACAAACTTGATCGTACCCTGCGTCCAATTCAGGTCATTATTTTCATTCACAGATGGCAAGAAGTAACTCATTTTGTCAGCAAGCTTCACATATTTTAATGATCTTTATTAATACAAGACACAATGGATTGCTCAGATTGCACCTTGTGCACAATATGCAGGAAAGAAAAACAGACTAATGCTACTGACACAAACACAAGAACTGCATGCAAAACGATAAATCGCTTGGGTTACAGTCTGTCGCATCAGGGGGAAAAAAAGAAAAAGAATTCTGAAAGATAGTTAGTACAAGCGTTACAGCAGAAAGGGCAGAGAGTTCCCCTGCCCAGTATATATCCGTCTTTCTGCAGCAGAACCTAATATAATGGACTTGACTTCAAAGATTCTAACACCTCATTTGGCTGGGTGTACACCTTGACATCTCGTACAAAGACCACGTTTCAAATGCTGAAGTACGAAAGAGAATCACCAACGCAGTGGGGCAATATGAAGATCTACTGACCACAGTGAAGAGACGAAAACTAAAATGGTATGGGCATGTCACAAGATCCACAGGACTTGCCAAAACAATCCTGCAAGAAACCGTACAAGGAAAGAGAAAGAGAGGAAGGCAGAGAAGGAGATGGGAGGACAACATTACAGAGTGGACAGGAAAGACGATGGGTGACAATCTGAGGAGAGCAGAGGACAAAAATAGATGGCGAGAGCTGGTTTTCCAATGCAGTGGTGCCCCTACGGTTGCCCCAACCACGGGATAGAAGAAGAAGAAGACACGATAAAACTGTCCATTTATTACAAGCGACTTTAAGTTGAAATAGATATTTTTGTTTGAGAGTGACAGAATTAAGAGAAAAGTCCCGCATGAGGCAAAACCCTGTATCAGGCTAAACAATTTGAAACACGGATCTGGCTGAAACACTAACTGTAAACCGACGCAACGAATTGAGAAATTTCTGATGAGTGCTAAAATCGTAAAATGGTACAAGATTTTTAAAATGTTCATCCTCACAAGGACAGTCAGCTGACTAGATAATGCTTACGATGAATTTTTTTTTTTAGTTTAGTACAGAGTTTTACGGCGCTCACAACTGCATAAGTTCATATGAGCACTTTACAAAGGTGCCAACTGGCTATGATCATTTCACCAAATAAACCTTCTATTACGACTGTTTTTTTATAAAGTACAACAACTGTTCAATGATCTGGCAAAATCCAGATCATTTAAGGTTTCTCAATTTTTGGACTGATTCAGAAATTCAGTATCTTTGAGTGTACACACACTTCTTACAAAGATAGAAAAAAAAAAAAATTAATTTAGAAAATAAATTTTATTTTCTCTTAAAAGTTATCATTCAAGGCCATTTTCAAATTCTGAAAACCACTTTGTGCCTCTCAACAGAAGAACCCCCCCCCCCCCCCCCCAGATAATCAGAATTACACTAAACTTTGCTGATGTAGAACTATTTTCAACCCTGTATCGGATCTGTTCAAGTGGGGCTATCAGCTGGTCGTTTTCCTTTGCCCAACCTCTTGCAATACAATGAGAGGAAAATGTAAAAAACCCAGAACATTTACAAAGGTGCACTGATGGATGAATGGAAAACAAAAAAGGTCAAAACAGAATGCTGCATTACAAGAGGTGAGTGACTTTCTCTACAAGTATGAGGTGATGAAATTTTGGTTGTATCATGCGGTCTGTTGGTGGACACAAGGAGAGAATCCTTTCCCGTCCCCCTGCAAATTAGTACTGCAGTAAAAGGTAAGCTAATAAATATTGATTTACAGCTTTGCAAGCAATCTTTTAAAGGAAAGGAGAGAAAAACCTTAGTAAATCCCAGATTCACTATAGGCGAAAATTATCTAATGCTGTAGAATATGAGTTTTAAAAAGCAGGCGTGATAGTAAAGAAGTAAATGACACTAGTCCCCGCGAAAAAAAATGGGTACTTTTGCCCATTCCTGAATTACAGCCGGTATGTTGTGCAGAGAGCCAAAAGCAGTTGATTGCCAAATGGTACAAAAGTACAGGAGCTTAACATTTGTGAGGCATCGTGGTGGAATCAGGCTCTCGTCAAAGTAATTTTTTTTTAAACCTGTCACTTTTCCTCCTGTTTAGCAATTTTTATTGAATTTTTGCTTTTTGGCTCAACACCTTTTATGTCCATTTAAAAAGATATTTCTGTATGGAAATCACTGAAAACGTCGATTAAAGGCACAAAAAATGTAAATTTTCAGTTTCCAAAGAACTCTCAAGATATGGAAGTGACCAATCTTTGGCGGCCATTTTCTCGCCAATTTTTCCCCTGAAACCAGGCGACCCCACGTCTTTCAATCGCAAATATCTTAACTTCTATTCAAGTTTGATGGATTTGTTCTTTTTACCGAATGCAAGACGAACAAGCTTTAAGACGTAACCAATAACTAAATATGACCTAAAAATGATGTTCACCTGATTCCACCATGTTGCATCACATTTACTGCTAGAACAACTCTCACTTCGAGGCGGCGACTTATCAAACCCCGAAAAAAAAATGAAGAACAAACTTTCCATCAGTCTTGTTGAATTTTATAAGAAAATAGATACAGCAAAGTTTGTTTGGGTTTTAAAATTCTTGTTTTTTTAAAAAACCAAATACTAATATCACTTGTGGGTTCGGGGGTTCGAGCTTTAGCTCGGTCCATCGTTTTGTCCTTGGGAAAGGCACTTAGCACAAATTTCCCACTTGACTCGGTTCTTTCGGAGATGGACGTTTAACTTGGAGGTCCTGCCTTTTAAATAACCTAACAATGTTGATAGGGGCGTTAAACCTGTACCATTTCACCATTTTCACTAATATTAAGCACCTAGATTCAGACCTATAGGGATGGGATACAACTGTACAGAGTCCAGGTTAGAAGCTGATGAATAATAATAATTGCATTTATATAGCGCATATCCATGCTCAAAAGCATGCTCTATGCGCTTTACAACTATTATTACCCCAGCAGACCGTCTGAGAACACTCGGAAACATTCTCGGCTTCCACGGAAGCATACAGTGCAAGCTGCGGATTTCACACGCTCAAACACTATCAAACTGACAAGATCGTTCACTGTCTATAGCCATTTCCACCTGGGTGAAGTTAGGAAAATTTGTGCAAAGTGCCTTTCCCAAGGACACAACGTCGGGCCCCTGACTGGATTCGAACCCACGACCTTACGATTGCGAGTCCGAGAGCCTAACCACTAGGCCACCGACGAAGAGCTCTTGTTGGTGGCCTCTACTTTGGCAAGGGGCGGGAAAGGATGAAGATGAAGGTTCGTATTTTAGCATTATAATGGTAAAACCCATCTATTCTGCTCTAAACAAATTTTTCCTTTTGGCTGGCTGCACAACACACGTCGCGTGGAGAATAAAAAGACTTCTTTTTCAACCAACACTTACACCGGTCACGATCCTAATTTAGAGCCTGCGGAAGACAGATCAAGCCATGATATGATTGTGAGCAAATTCTCCAGAAACTCTGGCATTCTGTGCACGAACTTGATAATTCATTTATATACTACAACTAAAGGAGAATCACTTAATGAACACTAACTGTTTGATCAAATCAAAGAACACAAAATCAAAATGAAATCTACTGAAAATCTATTAAAAAAAAAAAAAAAAAAAAAAAAAACGCTTTGCAAATCACTCACCAATCTCTGTTCTGTGTAGCTTCGATTCTAAAAGAATTTTCTATCTGGAGTCTGCAGTTTCTACATAACCAGGGTTACACAGATTTCAAAACGGGCCAAATAAATGAAAGCTTTGTTCAGCATCTAAACTTCAACGTTGTTTACAACACCCAGTCAGTCTCACAGACATATGTATAGAATTAGTCTTCTTAATCTTCCTTTTTGTTGGTTAAGTAAAGGTTTCACTTATTTCACACCATGCTCATGCTTGTTCTAAAAATACTACTGTTACAAATACAGTTGTACACATAATTAAAAGCATAACTAAAGACATGAAAAAGACAGAAGTGGTAAGCTTCATCTGTAATAAATAAGAAAAATAAGGAGTGAGAGAAAAAAAAGAGGATCTAGGAATTTGTCGGAGTTAATTGAAACACTGAACATGAAACATACTCAACACATAATATCTTCCCATCAACAACGCAATCTCAAAGAAATCACGAAAGAAACAGTATGAGGGAATGCACACACAGCAATATTCTCTAGAAAAACAAAACAAAACAACAAACGTACCAAACTTTTTTGACGCTTAGCCATGGAGAACTGAAGCTTCTGAGAAATTTCTTGAACGATATCCGTCTCGTCCTCAATTTCCTCCTGAAGCAGTTCTTCGATCACGTCCTCCAGAGTGATGATTCCCACCACAGTCTGGGGAGAAACCAGACAGACAGACAAATGTGAGGCAACGTAGTGGAATCAGGCTCTCGTCAATTTTTGGGCATGTAGAGTTATTGGTAACATCATAAAGCTTGTTCACTTGTCTTTATTTGGATAAACAAAATATCCTTTGATCTTGAATACAACTCGAGATATTTGCAAAAGAAGGAGGTGGGGGTCACCTGTTTTCAGAGGTAAAATTAGTGAGAAAATGGCAGTCAAAGATTAGTTATTTCCTTAGCTTAAGAGTCTGTGGTAACTGAAAATTTACAATTTTTGTGCCTTTAATCAACGTCTTTTAGAATAATTAGTTCTTTACTGGGTATGAAAGGTGTTGAGCCAAAAAACAAACATTTGATAAAAATTCACAAACCTGTGGAAAAATGCAAGTTTTTTCACTTTGGTTTTTTTTACGAGAGCCTGATTTCACCACGTTGCCTCACAAATGTCTCACGTGTTTGACATTGGGGTAGGGGGAGGAGGGGGGAAAGGGGAGGAAGGAGGACATGGTGAAGGACGGGGAGAGGGGAGGTGGGGGGAGCATGTGAGAAGAAGGGAAGGGGGGAGGAGGGAGGAGATGGTGAAGGAGGCGGAGAGGGGAGGTGGGGGAGGGAAACCAGTCAAACAGACAAATGTGAGGCATCGTGGAGAAATCAGGCGCTCGTCAAAATATTGAAATAGACAATAACAGGTATTTTTCTATCCAATTGGCAATTTGTATCGAATCTTTTACTTTTGACTCAACGCCTTTAACTTATTCGCCACGCATTATTTTCGGCTTGCGGACGAATTTTTTGGGGAGGGTGAAATGAGATGGTGACTAATGCGCAGTTCACAGGTCTTTGGGGCCACAAATTCAAATAAATATCAACATATTATACAGCAGTCTCCGCCTAAGATCCCGCCACTTATGGTCCAGGTTCGCCTAAGATCCCACCACTTATGGTCCAGGTTCGCCTAAGATCCCACCACTTATGGTCCAGGTTCGCCTAAGATCCCACCACTTATGGTCCAGGTCCGCCTAAGATCCCACCACTTATGGTCCAGGTTCGCCTAAGATCCCGCTGTTTTGGAAAAACTGAAATTTTACTAGATAAAAGTCACCCCTAAGATCCCGCACTGAAGGAGCTACATTCGGCTAAGATCCCGCTTTTCAGGTCATAATTTTTTTTCCCGTTATTTAAGAAGAAAAAAAAAAGAAAAAGAAAACTGGGCGCACTCAGCTGATCAACCAAGTAGCAAAAATGGGCGATCATTGTAAGGTCCGTCATGTGACGGATCATCCACCCTCATGAATGCGATCACACCTCTGTTGTAAATCTCGGTAAGCGGTTACAATGTTTACCCCAGATAGGATCGCACCAAGGTGTGAACTCGTCGATGCTTTGCTTTCCCTGATCACCAGAGCCGTCCGCCTGATCTTACATCAGACATTAGGTGGGGAGGGCCCACAAGCAAGCACTAGACCGCATTCTATTAAACTGTGAACTCGTGGACGCTTACGATTTCCCGACCATCGCTCTCGTCTTTCAGTTTTGCGCTCTAACATCCTACACAGACTGGCGCCCATACTCGTGGACTGTCCTATCGCCTCTGCGTAATGGGGCCATCTGTTGGCAGTGAACCCGCCTCTCATTTTTAAAAAATTTGGTCGGTGTGGTCACAGAACCACGATTTATGATGCATCATGACATGAGCGGGGAACTCCATTAGAGATGGAAAGCAATACATTTTTGGTGTGGGGGGGGAGGGGCATTGCTTGAAGCCAACTGGTTCCCACCTGACACAGTATTTTTTAAAAAGCCTCACCCCCTGCAAACTTTCCCCCAAAAAAAAAGGAAAAACTGACTTCTGAGAAGAACTTTTAGTGCCCAAGAGTCACGTCAGTTCATTTTAAAGTAAGGAAAGATCATTGTACAGATTATGGGCCTGACCATGAGTTACTGTGGATTCTTTCCCTTGACCATTTGGCTAAGATCCCGGTTCGCATAAGATCCTGGTTCGCGTGCGATCCCGCATTTTCCTTGCTAATGAGCACTGGGATCTCAGGCGGAGACTACTGTATACCAAAATTTTCAGTATGGTTTGTATAATATGTCTCTAATGTTTATTTGTGTATTTTTCAACTTTGATTCCTGTAAGAAGCGATTATGCAGCACAATTTTGTTTGGATGCAGGTATAATTTGACAATGAATATAATAATCTTTCGTGAAACTCAAAAAATATGTTTACACGTAGTCAAATGATACATTAAAATAACCTTAAATGAATACAGAACAGAAATATATTGAAAAATTTGCAGCTATTTTCCTACATTCCATAAAATTTGTAAATTTGGATAATGACATGTGATATTGAAAATTAAAACATTTTTTTTTAGAATCTTGAAAAAAGGACAAGACGCATTCAGAAACAGAAAAAAAACACTGTATCTTACATGAAATTATTCAAAATTGCATTTGGAATAAACCTATACATGTCTTGAGAGGTACTTTTGTGTAATTTTACCCAAAAATAGTGATTTCGGGGAGAAAATTATTTTTTGACAATTTAGATTTAGCACTGAAAAATATCGATTTCTCAATAATAGATTACTGGCAATTTGAGTCTTATAGTATCAATGTTGTAAAGAAGAGTCCTACATTTCTTTAGTGAGCAAAATAATTATAAATTTTGTTGTATAAAAGTACTAAGACTGGTGTCTGGGCTAAATTTTGTTCATCGCAATAAAACAAAGTCGCATAATCTACGAAATCGCGTTTCAAAACTGAATCTAAACTTCTGATTTTCAGTGGAAACGTTTGACCCGAAAGTCATTGTTATATTACAACCTTTATTTTAACATGATATGTGGATTGAAATAGAATCAAAGTTAGAATTACAGGTCGGTTCTCCAGCCGTCAGGGGCGGCTTGGCGTACGGAAGCAACTTTAGCCGGGCCACTGCCCACGGCTCGACGTAGCGAATGAGTTAAGGTCTATTTAAAAACACATTTCCATGTAGATTTTACTGAAAAATGTTGATTTAAGGAACAAAAATGTAAATTTGCAGTTTCTAAGGACTCTCAAGCTTTGGAAGTCGCCAAATTGGGGGGCCATTTCCTCGTTAATTTTACTTCTGAAACAAGGCGACCCCCACCTCCTTCAATCACAAATACATCGACTTCCATTCATGATAGATGAATATTTTTTTCCCTGTAGGCAAGACAAAGGAACAAGCTTTAAAATGATAACAATAACTCCACATGTCCAAAATTTGACGAGCGCCTGATTCCACCGCGTCATTGCACGGATTTCTCACAGTGTCTGACTTTGGGGTCCGGGGAGGAAATGGGAGGAGAGGCGGGAGGTGGTGGTGAAGAAGGGGGCGAGAGGAGGTGGGGGAGGAGGTGGGAGAGAAGGGGAGGGAGAAAGTG